GGGGCCCTGCCCCGCCAGGGCCTGCCCTTCCCCTCCCGCCCCGGGGTCGCGGCGGCCGGGCCTCCCGCTGCAGCCCCTTCTCGCGGCTGCGCCGCCGCCTCCGTCTCACTCTCCCCACCCAGCGTAGTGGCCGCCGCCTCTTCCGCCGCCGGGCTCGGGGCCTCAGCATCGACAACATGGAGGCTGTGAAGACCTTCAATAGCGAGGTTGGTATCGCAGTGTAGCCTCCCCCACACCCGGGACGAGGTCAGCCCGAGGAGGGTGGGCGCGGGCCTGCGGGGCTTTGCAGGGTGGGGCGAGCGGCGGCCGGGCTGTGTCCGTGGGGGGAGGGGTGCCTCTGAACCCCCGGCGCCCCTCCCCCGAGTCCGGGGGGAGCGCTGGGGGAGGGCCGCCCCGGCGCGGAGGGAGGTTCCGGCGGCTCCAGCGCCCCACTGAATGGCTGCGGGGCGGGAGGCAAGGCCCCGTTGGGCCCTCCCCCCAGAGGCTCCCGCGGGTCCCTCGGGGTCAGTTCCGCCGAGGCCCGGCCCGCCCACGTCTTATCGGGAGTGCGGGGTTTTAACCGCACTTGGACATCCCTGCCCGGACCTCCCTGGGGTCCTCAATGAGGCCGGCACCGACCGGGGTTAGTGCAGGAAGAGCACCTACGGGGGTGATGATCTGTAGTCACAGTGCATATAGTGTTTATTATCGAGATTTGGTGGCTAGGTAACCTGCCAGCGAGAGGCTTATGCTAACGGGATGGTTGGTCGGGAAGCAAGGTTATTCCGTGATTTATTATGTTCTTCCCCTCCCCCGCCATCCTCACGACACACACAAATGGTAGGAAGAGGTCTAGGTCTGTGCTTTACGAGAGGGAAGATGCCGGGGAAGCATTTCCTGTGGGCTGCTTCACATGTCAAATCTAACACTAGATTTTAACAAGCACGTGCCCAGTTTTCACTGATTGAATTTATTCATTTGAAGGGAGGCAGGTTTTGATAAAACATATTAAAAAACTTTTTAACTCCGACGCAAATCGACCTTAATTCAAACGTTAAACATAACAAGAACATATCTACGCACTGGAATTATCCTAAACTTGTACGCCTTAGAAAAAAATCTAATGTGATGTTAACTAGATTCGCATAAAATTTATGAACTTTTGATGTGGAAGTGCTAATACTTTTAAATAGTATGATTAACACAATCTAATTCAACACAATCTAATTCACCTTTTAAAGTGCCAGACCTGTAATTCCAAGGGGACAGTACTTTCAAAAGCTGTTTTACAATTTTGTTTTCTACCGTTCGCTCTCTTGCTCTCCCTCTCGGTAAGAATTGACATTTGGGAAGCTTAGATAAAAGTTAAATAACATGTGAATTGAACTCTCCACATTAAAGTAGATAGCAGTGACAGTTATATGAAAACAAGCACTTTTTTTGTAGAGAACTTTTTGAGTACTGGATTTTCTTTTTCCTTTTTTTTTCTTTTCCCACTTCTTGATAGAGTAATAGACTTGGGACTCTTTCATTTTGTTTATGAATTTATAGCTGATAATTTGGGGCAAATTATAAAATTTATAAATTTATACACCCCTCAGTAGTGTATAGCGTTTAAAATCTGGACTAAGAATTACTTAATGATACAATATGTTCCAACTTAATAGTTTCCTGGTTGTGCAGGGAAAAAAAAAACCCAGTTCTATGTAGCCTTTTAATTTGCTACATAGAGTGCTATAGCACTAATCGAATGTTAGTTTTTTAAATTATATAAAGAAAATTTTTGCTTCCACTGCAATTTTCTATTCTCCACGAAGTTTTAAACAGAGTTCCTTTACGTGGTAGAAACATGGTGAGCACACCTCTGTGCTTGGTCAGGTGGAGCACAGTGGGTTAGAACTGTTAACAGTTGGGTTTTCATTTCAGTATTGACATGAAGTATGAGGGGCCTAACATTTACATGGCCTTTCACTTCTTATCTAATCTTTATGACTTGAGATTTGTAATAGTATTCCCATTTTAGTTTATGTAGCACTGCACCCTCCCCCCACAGACTTCAGATAACTTAAAAAAACCTTTTAACTCTTACCAATAAACTCAAATTTCACCATGTTTGAAAGTGAAGTTACCTTAAAAGTTGTAGCAATATGGAATCAGACAGTTGAGGAAGGGAAATACATTGAAAGAAGATTCGTGAGAACAATATGCTTTTTTTTTTTTTTTTAAATTTAAACACAAAATACATAATCTTGTTAGGTTTTTTTCTGATTGCTGATTTGAAAATTTTGTCATTGCAGGTAAACATATTGGAAAATAGTTCAATAATATTTTCCATTAAACATATTGCAAAGTACAAAAATAAATTTGAGTTATGGGATTAGAATATTAATTTTAGTGAATTTGATTTTTATCCTTGGGCTGAGACCCCTTTCTCTGCTACATTTAAAGCTCTCTTTGAAGCATTGAATTGTGAAGAAATTCCATTTGTTTTATAAGGCACCAAAATTTAGCCCTAATTAAAATTAATGTTTGAAATGAGATATTTTGATATTGCACTTACAGTGTTTCATTTAAAATATGAAATGCTTAGCATTTATGGCTTGGTAATTCTCAGGTTTTTCAACCCCCTCCTCCAATTGATTTGAAAGCAGAAACATGCCACAGATTTTAGTTAAGAATATAGCTTTTTAATTTGCAAACCGTGGATCATTTTCAATCTGAAAATCTCTACCTTATGCACGATATGTATGAGCCGTTATCGGCATGTCCTGTAATTTCTCAAAGCGATTCTGTAGCTTCCCCACTCTTGTGTTCAAAATCACTGTCTGAAGTTCCTTCCTGTAGTAAATTATCATGAGTTAAATGAGGATGAGGCTCAAGAATTGATCTTTAGGTGCCCACTGTGTTTGTTTTGTGGAAAAACCCTAAATTTCTAGTTAAGCGTCATAATTGTGATGAAAGTTAATCCTGTGGCCACTAACATCAATTCTGAAATGAAAGTTTGTCCAGATTGAAATATTAAGACTCCCTCCTTGACCTGAGCAATTAACTCTAGGGGAATTATCATATCTTATCCTAGTTGCTGCTGCTCTGAGATGGTGGCATTTACTCGTTATGAATATGAGAGAGTCTCATATTCATCTGCTTACATCTGAACTCCTTTAGGACCACAGTTGATTACTGGATTGCAGCAGTTTTCACACGAGCTGCATATCTGTACTCTGTCCTTAAGAAGGCCGCTGTGTGGAGGTCACAGTAGAGTTTTGTTTTTGAAAAGAGAGAAACAATGTGTGACCCTTTCCTTAAAAATTATAATTTAATTGTACAGGTCACTTTCATGATATAGGAAATCCTAAATATGTGGAAAACATGAATATGTTATGCATTTGCTTAGACAAGAAAGTAAGTGGTGGAGTTTTCTTGTGTGTTGGATTCTTTTAAATTTTAAGCACTTAAAAAAAAAAACATAGCCCCAATACCATTATTACACTTAAAAAAGTTAATAAATCTTTAACATAATCAAACTCCAGTCAGTGATCAGTTTTTTTTTAGATTCTTGGTATAGCATTGCATTACTATGGTCGTGTTGCCACCCCCCGCCCCCAGGATCCATTTCTCTTGCTGCTCTGAATAGGATGAGTGGGAAGGTAAAGGGTCAGATATGTAGGTATGAGATGTGTCAGAAAAATTACTACCATTTAATTTTTGGACTTACGTTGGTTCATCAGTTCTGAGAGGATCCTAGTACCTTTTGTCATCTTTAAGGGGCCTAAATTCTTAGTGTTTTGTCTTTAGGATCCTTTGGTAGTCAGATAGCTTATTCTTTAAACTGTTCCAGATGTAGACTTTCCAGAATCACTTTCACACCCAGTACGTTTTCGTCTTTCATGCCTTGTCTCTCACATCACATGTGAAATCCCATCTTCATTTTACTCCATTTCCAATTTTGTATCCAGAGGTTTTATTTGCCTAACTACAGGACTTTTTATTTAGAACCTTTCCACAAATATCTAGTAATAGGCATGGGTTGATAGAGAACAGTGGGAAAGGTAGAGGGAGGAATAAAAGCATGTGAAAAAAATTTTTATTTTTGAATTTCCCTTTGTCTATGGTTATGGAAAGGGAATTTATGTGAAGCAGCTAGAAAACATTGCATTTTCATCTACCCAGGCATCTCTCGGTTTTCTTTCCTATTTTAACTTTCCAGTGGGAGTTTTGGTTAATTATATTAATCAGGCCCTGTTTTTTGTTTCTACCTTGTAAAAATCCCTTAAAGATGTAGCATACTTAGTGTTATAAAGGAAAGAAGCCTTCACTGATCCCACCCTGCCCCAGTGGTCTAGATCAGGGCTTCAACCTTGGCACTAGTGATATTTTGGGCTGGATGGTTATTTGCTGCGAGGTGCTGTCCTGTGCACTGTGGGGTTGGTAAGCAGCAACCCTGGCTGCTGCCTGCTATTGTGAGGACCAGAAATCTCTCCAGATGTTACCAGATATCTCTTGGAGGGCAGAATTGACCTTGGTTGAAAATCGCTGGTTTAGGTCTCCTGTTAGTCTTAAAGCACTCCGTACAATGCCTTCTAGTGATTACTACAGTAATAAGTGTTTAGTATTTGTCTTTCCTACCAGACTATAAGTTCCACAAGGACAGTAACCGTATATTGTCATTGCTTCATACCCTCGGTGCATAACATAGTGTCTTAATACATAGTATACACTAAGTAAAGATAACTTGAATGAATGCATGGATGACAGACTAGGTAGCTGGATGACCTGGACCAAGGCAGTTAACCTATCTGGACACATTTGGTTTTCTTCTTCATAAAATAAATGATTGATTTTTTTAAACCGATATTTAAAAAATTCATAATACAAGGATAATTGAGATTGATAATGATTTTGAGACTATGATTTGAGAGTGTTATAGTCTTTACTCATTCAGGATTAAATTTAAACATTTTTTTTGGCAGGTTGAAATTCATGTGATATATATAGCTCAACCATTTTATTCTAGGCTTATGTTGAGTTTGTAATAGTAATTTTGATTGAAATTTGGGGGACATCTGTATTGCCCAGTATCCTAAATAGTCATATTTTATGATCACTTGCTCTTTATTTTAGAGGTGTAGTTGACTTAGAACTAGTGATAATATTACTCTTGTACATGGACTTTCAGATATCTCTTTCTAGGGCCAGTTTTGCTGTTAATTGGACAACATCTAACTCATAATGGTATGAGAGAATGTAATCAACATTGACCTTGAACACTGGCTGAGCTCCTAAGCTCTTAAGTGAGCTCCTTTTATCTGGTTTTGTTTTCTCAACATCTTTCTCTACTCCTCTCTCTCAGGATTGTGCGTCTACTCCTGCTTGTACAGACTGCTTTTCCAGCAGCATGGACACAAGAAGCATAGTAAGATGATTATAACCCACATAAGGCAGGCCCTTTGGAAAGTATTAGGTTTAAATTGGTACTGAAATGATGTCTTGATTATATGGGCAGTGCTTGGGAAGTAGAATAAAACTTGCCCACTTAGTTATCTTAAAGAGAACATGCAAGGAGTAAGTTGAGTTCACAAAAAATAGGTTAAGTGAAAAAGAAGTTATATGCTTAATAGTGAGCATAAATGATATGCTGTTGAATTTACTTGCATTCTGCTCCACATAATTTTACTGTATTATTTTTTTTTTTGGTAAGCAATATAACTACCTATTTAATAATGAGTAAATTGCAAACCTCTTAATTTCATGTTTGGAAATAAAATACATCTTATATTTTGAGGAAGTTCTTCAAACTATAAGATGACAAATCATTGGCAGATATGCTGCAGGAATAGAGAAACAAAAACAACTAAATCAAATATTTGATTTTCTGATTGTAGAGGAGCAGATTTTGGTAGAAGTACTGTTATGAGAAATAAGTGCTGATGAGAAATGTTTTTGTAGCCTGTGATTTCTTATCTGAGTTAATTCTGTCTCAAGTTTGATTGTAAACATACATTTGCTCTTTCTGATATTGATGTTATGCATTTAATCTTTCTAATTCTGCTTTACAAGAGTTTCCGATAACACCATATTTTAAACTCGGATAGGTATTTTAATGTGTAACAGTATCTAATATAGATCAAGAAATATCTTAGGAGCGTTGATATTATTTAGTCAGAATGAGGACTATAGATTATTCATTTTTTTTTAAAGACAGTATGATTATTAAGCTAATATATGCCGTTTGTTTTTAAAATAATTTTGTAACTTAATGGAATTTATGTAGATTGACTTGAAACATCTGGGTTTTCATTCTTTCATTCGTTTATTCATTTAACCAATACTTAATGAATGCTTTTACTATATATCAGACATTTTTATATCTGCCGAGATAGTGGTAAACAAGTGAAAAGCTTGCCCTCTTGGCGCTTATGTTCTCATAATCCTTGGTGTGTGGTGGGTGACCTTGTTGCACAGCGGGTGAGGCTGGGCAGGCGCTTCTGACTCTGGTTGCTAGGGCCTGCTTGGGCTGTGGCCCTTCTCTCCAGGCTTGGTTCTTCCTGGCCTGTCCTCAGCATTTTGCCTTACGGAGGGAGTCCACATTGCTCGTCTACCATTCAGAATAGAGATTGAGCAAGTAGACTTATCTAAACAAGAATATGATCTTATGTTTTCAACAGTGGTCTATTATCTATTTAAACTCCATTTGGTATTTTGGAATTATAACTCATAAAATACAGCTATTAGGATGTTTTCTTTTGTCAATGAAATATTAGTTTCCACATGCAAATGATTAAACACATACATTTTTTTAAGTGGTGACCAAATATACTCCTCTTTATGAGTTTGGAAGAATAAGTTGATATTTTTATTTTTAAAACAAACTTTTACTTCTTTTAAGTATACATAAAAAAAAATTGGTTGATTTGATTCCTCAAGGCTCGTTTGAGTAGCTTGTGAGTGAAGGATGAAACAGTTTGGATCTTGTATTTTGTGTAGAAATGGGGAAATGATATAAAGATCTTTCTGTACTGGGTCACAGTATCTAAAAGGTTGACCAGTACACTTAAAAGTAATACACTGTTATGACAGTTACATTTTAATTAAAAAAAGGTTAACCAAGTCTTAGTTAATGGCTCTCTTTAATTTAGTAATGTTTTGGTACTAAAAAGTTTTATAGTTAAAATAATAGATAATAGATACTTGAATTTATTGAAATATTTGAAGTTATATGGGTAAAAAGAATGTTGAATAAGTTGAAATTTTTACAGACCAAAGAGATAGCAAATATCTAGTTTGTATAACAGCTGCTCGCTATACTGAAAAAATACCTGGCTTATGTATTTTTGTATACTTTTTATTTTCAAACATTGTTATAAGCAGGCCACTGTAATATGTAGTGTTTTATAATCTGCCTCTCTTTTTTCCAACCATCATATTTCAGTGGCTCGTTATGATAACCTTGTGAGAAAGGTAGGATAGGTGTGATCCCCATTTTACAAATGAGGTAACTGAGGTCGTGTGTGTGTGTGTGTGTGTGTGTGTGTGTGTGTTTAACCCAAGAGATGCAGCTTTGTAAGTATTAGAGCGCAGAACAGAAGGACCTAGGTCTCAAACTCTGCTGCTTGAGAAGTTTTCTTACCCTTCTATGTAAAGGACAACCATCGTTCGATTTTTCACAATTTCTTTTTGCTGGCATGATGTCCAAATACGATTTAACTTTATTTTTTCCCACTTTTTAAGCTTTGTTTTTACAACTTCAAATTTTCAGAAAAGCTGCAAGAATGATAAGGAATTTTTGTGTGCAGTTCATCCTGATTCCTCTACTAATTATGTTAAGCATATTTGCTTTCTTATTTTTTTTACATACGCATGAACACATGCAAACTTTTTTTCAGAACATTTTGAGAGTAAATTGCAATTCATAATACCTTTTACTTCTAAATAACCTTTTCTAAGAACAAGAACATTCTCATACATAACCATAGTACAGTTATCAAAATCGGGGAATTAACACTGATATAACGTGATTGTTGCACGGCTTATTCAGATTTCACTAATTGTACCAGGAATGTCCTTAAAGAATAAGTTCTACGTCACACCTTGCATTCATTTGTCTCTTTAGTATCCTTTAGTTTAGAGCAAGTTGGTTATTTGTGTCTTTGTCTTTTTTGACCTTTGATGATATTTGATGAGAATAGGCCAGTTATTTTTAGAATTCCTTTAATATAGATTTGTCTGCTGTTGCTCCATGATTAGGTTCAGGTTATGCATTTTTGGCAGGAATACCCTAGAAGTGATGCTTGTCCTCTGGAAGTACATGATGTCCATTTATTCTGTTAATAGAGATGTTAACTTTTTTCCTGCAAGGTTTCTCTATTGTAAAGTTACTGTTTTTCTCTTGGTAACAACTGTCTTAATGGAAATATTTTTGAAACTATATAAATACTTTGTTACTCATCAAAATTCACCTGTTTGTTTTAGCATTTATTTAATTCTTTCCTGAATCAATTAGCACTAAGGTAGTAGTCATCTGATTTTTCTAAGACTGTCATTTTACTTATTGGCATTTTGTAAGAGTCTTTTTTCCTCCCCATTTATTTATGTATCTATGTATATCAGTATGAACTCATGGGTTCTTTTGCATTCATTGAGATTTTTTTATTGCATAGATTGTCTCAGTTTTGATCAGCGCGCTCCTTTAGGCTGGCTCCTGTGTTTTTTTGACATCAGCTCACCATTTTTTGAATACTTCCTTATTTTCCTGTATAGTAATATATTCTCTAAGGAGACCTAGTTTCTTCTAGTGGATATCTATTAACAGATTGGACTAGAAATTATGTATGTGTGTGAATATGCATATATGTATATATACACAGATTTTAACGGTTTTTTTATCCAGTTATTTGCCTGTCTAAAGAGCTCTGAGTTCATCCTGATACCATTGCCATTTCAACGTTGAAGGGTTCCCCTTTACCCTTTCCAAATGTGTAATTTCTTCTGACAGTGAGAAAAATGGTTTCTGTATCCACAATATATTTATGTATTATTTGATCAGTCCTAAAATATACAGAAAGTAGTTTCAGAGTTGCTAAACCACATGTCTGTGAGAACAAACCTATTAATTTGTTTACAGTTTTTTTTTGTTTTGTTTTGTTTTTAACTTTAGGGTATATACTCAAAATACTGTGTTCAAACATTGCTTGGTTAATTTTTTTCCCTTAATGTGGTTCTGCTATTCATTTACAATATAATTAGGTTCAGTTCAGTTTGTATTCTGTTGTTGTTTTTCTCTATCCGTTTTTGTTATTCTTTGTATGCAACAAATAACAAACTATAATCCTCCTTTAGTTTTTATTAGCTTCAGCAGAATAACCACATATGCTCTGTTAAAAATTTTTTTCTTTAACATTCTTCAAATCAAATAACCAGCCATAAATTTGGAGGATTAGATATAGAGAAAGTCCTAGGTAAAAGATGTGCTTCTAAAAGCGTAGATTCATTGTGTAGGTGAAAGTATGTATTCAGAAACTTTCTCTTGTGAATTGAATCTTTATTCACAGGGGTCAGTAGACCTTTTCTGTAGAGGACCAGATGGTAAATATTTTAGGTTTCAGGTACTACTTAAGATCTTTTTGCATATTCTTGTCGGTCTTTCACAATACTTTTAAAATATAAAAACTATTCTTGGCTTGAGGGCCTACAGAAGTAGGCCACAGGCCATAGTTTGCTGAGGCTGCAGAGTCTGAAACCTGAAAACTTGATTACTAACCTGCTCCTTATAAATCCGAAATAAAATTGAGCAAGAAGATATATTCCTTATAGGCTTTATAAAGCTTACTTAAATTAAAAACAAAACAACTTAAAAGGCTGCGTTAGTGAAACTACTCAAATTTTTTGAGCACTTAACCATCATGTGCAGACACTATGCTGGATTTTAGAAATTTAATAGTGTGCAAAACAGACCAAAAACAAACAAAAAAACTCCAAAAAATTGTGTAACAAAATCTTGCCCTCACGGAATTCACATTCAGTTTTTGCGAGTGTTTACTGGCAATGCATGTTTCTTTTTTATTCATTTAGTGACATTTTATCTACTAAAAGTATTCATAGTAGTTGCAGAGTGAGCATTCTTTCTTAAAAACTTTGATAAAAACAGCAAAAGGGGCAGACTTAAAAGTTTGGCTCATTGCTTCCCAGCTCTCCTTTTTTTGTGAAGTGATTTTTATTTGAAAATGATTCTTAATCATAATGCTTTCAGTGTGTAGCTAAACTGACTCAAAGGAAGAAAATTAAGTAAAACCTCATTAATCGAGACAAAGAATCCAGACTTAATTTAGTGATAAGTACATGTGTATTAAAGACTCTAAGAAATATTATTCAAGTACATAATGGTACTTCAACTAATCTGTCTTTAAGACTTTAATG